ACCAGGTCTCCGAAGGCCTAGCAGCAAAAACCATTGTCATATTCGGAATCAGCATAGTCGATAACCTATTCTCCACTAGATTTCAACAAAAAAGCGAGCGGACACTTGGGGCAGTTCCCTCGTCAGTTCAATTCAAAATTGTTAAGCTGTTTATTAATTTGAGAGCATCATGGTTGAATTTTATTGGTTGTTCATTGATGATGTTAATGTTTTCTACTATCGGGCTTCTTATGTATGCTAAATACCAGAACTGTGATCCACTAAAAGCAAAACTAATTCAAAAACCAGATCAGGTAAGTAGTTGTAACGATATATTTGTTTATAATTCATCTTCTTTTTTTCATAGCTTTATCCACTTTTTGTCATGCAAACTCTAGGAAAATTTAAAGGACTTCCGGGGCTGTTCATTTCTTGTATCTTTAGTGCATCATTAAGGTCAGTACTTAATTAGTTTAAAGCATTTTTGATCAGATAGTAATTTAAAAATTAATATTAGAATAAATTTATCGCAGTTCAAATCATAAACAGATATAAATAGAAAAAAACACATTGACGTCGACTCACATTTAGAAAACTGATTATTAGCCAGCACAAGATTTATGTTTTTATTATAGTACGATATCTTCAGGTGTTAATAGTATTGCTACTGTCATTCTTGAAGATTTTTATAAACGTATAAGCAAACATGAAATATCTGATGCTCGTCAAGCAACTATGTTAAAATTACTATGTACGTCAAGATATTGTGTATGGCAATAGTTTCAAAATAACTTTTTTTTACAGCCATTTGTCTTGGAATAATGGTAATACTATTAGCATTCATCATGTCTTATTTAAGAAGCATACTGACGGTAAGTGCTTGAATATATTTCGCCATATTTTAATAGCACCATGTTGTTTTAGATTGTTTTATCCTTATTCGGTGCGTTTAGTGCTCCAATTTTTGGTGTTTTTTTATTAGGGTTCTTTTTTCCCAGATCAAACAGTAAAGTAAGCAAGCACTCGATAATAGAATTGTAGTTATATAAGGAAGTGTGTGTTATATGAAAAGGGCGTGTCAATCGCTTTTATCGTTTGTATTACATTTCAAATATGGATATTAATTGGTGCTAATCTCACCTTTAAACAACAACAAAGTAGTGCACTCTCGTTATCCACTAAAGGGTGTTCCAGTTTAATGACTGAAACAGTGACAAATGACTCTCTACCAAAAAAGTAAATTAAGCTATGTTAGTATTCTTAAACTACTACAACATTATTTTTGCTTTAGTAATAATGTATTTTTATTACTTTATTCGATGTCATACATGTGGTACGCCTTTAACTCTTTAATAATTATCTTAGTAGTCGGTTTATTAGTCTCTTATTTGACTGGTAAGTACGCTACACATAACTACAAACATTTATCGTGACTAATTCTCTTTTCAAGGTATGAATGATCCAAAGACAATCGACGAAGCTTTACTGATCCCACTACCCAATTTGCTCTGCTTTTGTTTACCAGGAAAAATTAGGCAACACATTTCACTTTTGCGACACCAATCTGTCGATACAAATAATAGGGTAATCTATATACATAACTCTCTTTATCTATAAATACTGATTCAGTGAAACGAACGAAATCCTAACAGTAATCCTACATGATGTGTTTCCTTGTTCGCTATCAATCCACCATTTATCTTTTTATATTCAATTCATAGTTATTGCATTTAGATCGATGGAAACCCTCTCGTTGAAATAATAGATGGTGGAATAGAAAAACCAAATAATCTTACTGATGAAACTGATATGATGTTACGAACATAACTGCTTGCTAGCTTATAGTGGAATCTACGGCCTGATTACTCGAGATCATTTACCTGATTCTTCAATTTTGTAAGAGAACATCCGTAGATGACATGCATGGGCAATCAAAGAACAAAGTTACAAAAATTTATCGTGCAATCTTCCATTTTTGTAGACTATTTGTGCCATCTAACAATATTTAGAATAAAACTTAAACCAAGATCGTAATGATTATTATTAACTATTAATGAACTAACAAACTTTTGTATTAATATTCATATATTATTCCATCGCGAAGGATTTATCAGGATTGAAAATCACAAATAATGCTAAATTCGATCTTTAGATTTCCTTCCAGAAAACTCAATGATGATAGATAACGCTTAAATAGGAGAAACTTTTTATACTGAACGCGAATCCAAGTTTAATTTTATATGTACAGCTTAAACGTGAAGCAAGGCGTTGTCTGAAAAATCACGACAAGGAAAACATTTAAGTAAAACTTTAAAACGGAAGGCTGTTATAGCAGTTAAGCGCTATCTACGACAAAAATATTTCAGAACGTTCCGTATTATTTTCAAGATGGCATGTATAAAAACCGAAAAATAGATCCCACTGGGTAAGCCTACTTAAACTTCCATGAAACTGTTCCTCGGGTCATACAAAACGATCTAGTTTTCATTTGATCACAGAGTTATATTCCAAACAACAATAAATAAAATAGAGACACTTTACTTGTACGCTTAGGGTAAATAGGGATACTCCATTGAAATACACCGGGTTTTCAGAAACAAACGTCTATCGTCTCTCATCAGTTGATTTTGGTATTATACCAAATGCCAAAGTTCTTTAGAATGCTAAACTCTATCACGTAAGTGAAAATCACCTAGAATTGATTAGAAGTAATCACGATTCTACATCCAAGACTTTTTCTTCACGTTTTAAATGCCAAAAGTTCACAATCTAATTCTTCAAGCTTCTAGAGCCATCGAAGATTGAAGAAAACATTGAGCTTATTAGATTCTTCGAAATTTTTTCTATCGGCCACAAAATTTTGGAGAAAAAAAGATGAGATGTGACCAATATATCGTTCAAATACGTTACAAGACTATATGATTTCTTGAAAAACCATGCCAGTTTAAGGCAAAAAAGTTTTCTTTGAGCGATAATCTTATAGAACAGGCTTTCCTCTTCAAGATAAAAGTTCACACTACTTCCAGTAGTGCTTGAATTGCAAGTTATCACGAAAATAATTCTCTATCTTCCTTTCTGTTGTTGAAATGCACTGCCTGGACGACATTGTCCCAGTATCTCCTTAGCGCATACAAATC